GACCCGCGACGGGCACACCCCCCCGCCCTCCTGACTTCCCCAGGGGGCACGGCCAGCCCTCTGTGCTGGCGCTCAGAGTGGCTGCCTCGGGCACCCCTCAACGTGACTCTCACGGTGCCCCTGGGCAAGGCTTTCGAGCTGGTCTTCGTGAGCCTGCGCTTCTGCTCAGCTCCCCCAGCCTCCGTAGCCCTGCTCAAGTCACAGGACCATGGCCGCAGCTGGGCCCCGCTGGGCTTCTTCTCCTCCCACTGTGACCTGGACTATGGCCGTCTGCCTGCCCCTGCCGATGGCCCAGCTGGCCCAGGGCCTGAGGCCCTGTGCTTCCCTGCACCCCAGGCCCAGCCTGATGGCAGCGGCCTTCTGGCCTTCAGCGTGCAGGACAGCAGCCCCCCAGGCCTGGACCTGGACAGCAGCCCAGTGCTCCAAGACTGGGTGACCGCCACCGACATCCGTGTAGTGCTCACAAGGCCTAGCGCGGCGGGTGACCCCAGGGACATGGAGGCCATCGTCCCTTACTCCTACGCAGCCACTGACCTCCAGGTGGGCGGGCGCTGCAAGTGCAATGGACATGCCTCACGGTGCCTGCTGGACACACAGGGCCACCTGATCTGCGACTGTCGGCATGGCACCGAGGGCCCTGACTGCAGCCGCTGCAAGCCCTTCTACTGCGACAGGCCATGGCAGCGGGCCACTGCCCGGGAATCCCACGCCTGCCTCGGTGAGGCCTTGGAGGGTGGCCTGGGGACCTTGGACCCAACCAGTCTGCCCCTGACCCATCTCTCCCTGCAGCTTGCTCCTGCAATGGCCATGCCCGCCGCTGCCGCTTCAACATGGAGCTGTACCGACTGTCCGGCCGCCGCAGCGGGGGTGTCTGTCTCAACTGCCGACACAACACTGCTGGCCGCCACTGCCACTACTGCCGGGAGGGCTTCTATCGAGACCCTGGCCGTGCCCTGAGTGACCGTCGGGCTTGTAGGGGTGAGCCCACCACCAGCCACCTGCGGGCCCTCATCCTCTGGCTTCCCAGATCCCCAGACAGGCTTCTGACCAGGCCCTTCCCACCTCTCCTCAGCCTGCGACTGTCACCCCGTTGGTGCTGCTGGCAAGACCTGCAACCAGACCACAGGCCAATGTCCCTGCAAGGATGGCGTCACTGGCCTCACCTGCAACCGCTGCGCACCTGGCTTCCAGCAGAGCCGCTCCCCAGTGGCGCCCTGTGTTAGTGAGTGACCCTGCCCTGCCTCAGCCACCAAGCCAAGGCCACCCAAGCTCCCTGCTGTTGTCCCGTCTTTTCCCTGAGCCCTGCAGATCTCTCTGCTCCTCCATCGCAGGCCATTCTCCCTCCCTCTCTGCAGAGACCCCTATCCCTGGACCCACTGAGGACAGCAGCCCTGTGCAGCCCCAGGGTGAGTGGACACAGGACAGGGCCCCAGACGGGCATGACTTTGGGTGAAGGGGCTCTGGGAGGAGACGGTGGGGAAGGGGGGGATGAGAGTCTGTCAGCCTCCCACCCTCTACCCAGACTGTGACTTGCACTGCAAACCTGCCCGTGGCAACTACCGCATCAGCCTAAAGAAGTTCTGCAGGAAGGACTATGGTAGGTGCCCTCAGGCCTCCCGCGGACCTTCCCTCCTCCGCCAGCTTCCTCTTGGAACGCCTTGACCCTTGCTGGGCACCAAGGCCCATCCATCCTCATCCCTCAGGTCCCCCACGGGGGGCGGCCCCGCTCCTTCAGCCCGCACTGTCCTCCGGGTGTCCTCCCCATGCCTCCCTCTACCCCGGGCAGGCCGCCGCCTCCTGACCCCACCCCCTCTCACTCTCCCCGCAGCGGTGCAGGT